AACGAATTTTACATTTGGTTTCTTCATGGTAGGGTTAACTCGTTTGTAGCTCTCAAGCGATACCCCAATGACGCAACAACCCTGTAGACAGAATATTGTTCGGCGATCGTTGATGGCCTATCTCCGGTTCTCAGCGTCATGAAAGCCAATCTTCAATAAAATCTCCGAGACGACATTAAAAAGCACGAAGGCGAATACACGTCTACATTCGTGTTCTTATAGATCTCGAACGATTGGATTAGGAGAAATGATCGAATTCCGGCTCTGGAGCACCAACGGAATCGGTGATATATAAAAAATGTGTTCTAGGAGAGGACTAGGCGCTATAGCCGCAAGTGGCTCTTTTTCCCACATTCATGGCTCGGGGCACAATCTCGGATCAAATCTCGTCTGAGCCAACCAAGACATCCATCCTGTCGAGGTCGTTAATTGATAGATTGCCACTACGATGCCGAATGGAAGTAGAACGCGTGGCGTATACCCAACAGATAAATCAGCGTTGGAACCTTTATCCTCTACTATCCTGGGAGAGGCAGCGTTTCAAAGCTATTGCAGAATGATTGCACATCCCGAGAACATTCAGAGACAGACTGTGAGGGCCGCCGCGTTTCCAGGAAAGAATTTTGCTCCTTATCAGGAGGCGGAAGTGGTGTAGTGGCAAGTGGCACGCTTACCACGCGAGCGGTCCGGGGATCAAATCCTGGGTCGTGAGTCGCCCGGGCCAACCAAGCCTTCCATCCCTCCGGGGTCGGTTAATTGGTACCAGACTTGTCTGGGAGGATAAAAACACTGACTTGTACATCGGCTGGTCATTGTATAGGCCACATCGCATTCAAACGCCACTACGAATGTACAAATGGAAGTAGAATGCGTGCCGCATCCCATAGGAGCCCATCTTTTACTAAAGCAACGAACCACGTTGATTTTGGTGATTACGATTTTTATTTGGCGTTGTGCATTTCTATCCACTTCTGCTTCGTTCATACCGGACAACCGTGATGTTCAAATAAGCTGCGATACTGGGCTATAGTCAAATGACCTTAGATGACCCATGTCCTTCTCCAGACGGTGTTCACCTTTTTTCTGGTGGTTTTCTTTTCAGACGCACGTCTTCGTTCAGAAATAAGAATCGTTTCAAGGTTGCAAACGATCCACCAGAGACTCAGAGGCGTGGGCTAAAAATGTGAACAACTACTTGCCCAGTTGATATGCATTCAACCATCGCTTTTGATTGTGTTGAGAACCACAGCGCCCATGTTGGAAACGATATGCGCATTTTTTGACTTCCATCAATTTCGTAGTAAATTTGTTGCTTTTTTATTCAGGCCATTTGAATGAGTGCGTTAATACACTTCCCCCACCCTGGTTTGTACAAAAAACTCATGCTGCTCAAGGTAGAATGAGATTTAATGACATCGCTAACCTGCATTCGCTGTAATCGTCTTGCCATCGGACCCATCTCACGCCTAGCCGAATACTCCATTTGACGATCCTCTAGATGAGTGGATGATCGTGATTTCAACGCCTAAAATAAAGTTGAGAAGATTCGGTGGCATTTGAATATTCAAAGCGGTTGTTTCTTTGTACGCTCGAGAATGACTTGATTTATAACATATTAATCATTTCAGGTGTCAATATGGTGAAATTGCCTGGAAAATACCATGAAAATTGCACTGTATTACACGCAAAAATTGTTATTAAAGGAGATGAAATTCTTGGATGGGGCAAAGGGAAGGTCCTTATTGGTTATCTCCTCCTTTGTCGCCATGAGGTTCTTCCGCAACTCCACTCTGCATTTCACACCACCCATAAGCCACACGCAAAAAGTTTACGTCGCAATGTGACCTAAGGCTCACCCCTTGCTACTCCTTCGCCACAGTAACACCACGTCCCCCTCCCCCCCCTCAGGACTAAGGAAGAGTAGAATGTTCCATCAATAGCAGAAACAACACACAGAAAGTCTCGTTTGCACGAACAATCCTAGCATAGTCGACAAACGCGACCTGTCAGATCGCAAACGGATTGCACTGATGAGTAAAGGGATCGACGATGAATGCCGAAAAGTTTCAAATGGCCCCACTGTTCGAGATTCAGAGCAGTGCGATTGAAAGTCCCTCTTGCCTTCAAACCATATGGATTAAAATCCCAATTAAGGATGCTTTTCCATCGGCTTCTAACTAGGACCCTCAATATTGGTTGAGCTCCCGACCGACCAGGGCGAAGTCCGCCGATATATATTCAACATATTTATGGGTTTGTAGAAAGCCCAAACACATAGTTCAATGCACTGAACGAGATCAACATTTTTTTACCGCGCCGGGAATAGTTTGGTTTGGTCTTCATAATATTGAACTATTGCTTGAAAAAAACCACTTTGAAAAAAAAAAGGAATCATTCGTGATAGGAGAAGTATAGGAAAACAATAAGTGAAAAAAACGGAAGGAACTACACAGTGGCGAACTTAGAAAGTAGTCCCTTAGCCGTGGATCACTTTTAGCATTTATTCGACTAAATTAAAAGCCTGCACATAATTTTCGAACTTCAAAATCTATTGTAAAGAGGTAATATTGTGAAATTTGTATTCGTTTTGTTCTAAAGGTCAACCAGAGTCAACCCTGCGTTGCGCAGTTCGCAACGGCACGTTGAGAGATCCTCAACGCACGCTGTATGGGCGGAGACACAGACGGCTCGAGCATGCGAGTGTGAATGTTCGCGCGAGAGAACGTGTCTAATCGGGCGAAACTGCGCAACGTGGCCGTTGAGAACTGCGCAACGCAGGGTTGACTCTGCCTGCGCGTCAACTTCACGCCCTGGTAAACGCGCCAAATCGGAAAATGGTCGAAATCTTTTGTATGTAACGTTTAGCCGCGTTCTGCGCCTTTTGCCTGAAGTTTCACAAGAACCCTCGTCTTTGTGAACAGCTCTGCTTCAAAGTTTGCCTTTCACAACTACGCATTCTTAAACGGTCGAATCTGTCTAACCTGTTAATCTTCTGCCGACAGACTCGAGGTTGATACTGAACCCTTTTACCTAAGTGATCTCCGACTTTCAACCTTTTCTTCTTCCTTAGAGCTGAAGATAGCGCTCGAAGCTTTCCGGTTTTCCCTACCATAATTCGAGCCAACAATACCTAGCTGGTATAATGGCAACCCCACTCGGCAAGCACAAATTGAGGAGCATAATAGAGACGACTTTGATGTAAGGTGTTCCATACTGGCATACGAGACGGTAACTTCTCTAGGAAGGTGTTGGAATCATTCTGGATTTTCGCAAGAAAACCACGAATGAATAACCGAAATGAGTTCTGTTCAATTACCAGTGACTTTCTGCCTTTTTACTATAAGAGGATTTATCAGTATGGGTACGGGTGCCTTATGCCTAGTCTTTGACCGATCAATAACACAGGAACTTCAGTGAAGTTCCTGTCGCGCCATTACTTACATTACTAACAAGCTTCGCTAAATGCTCCGTAGATCAAGTGCTGATGAACCTTTTGTGAAGTTCTTTATCCGTATTTATTGATCCTTGTGTGGCTCAACAACGGAGGTCGACGCTAGAAGGGTTGAGATCTTGGTCAGGACAGCTCAAAAATCTAGAAGCTTCAAGCTATCTCCCATTCCTCTGAAGTAGACGGAAAGGCCAAAAACGTCGGGCCATTCAATAAAAAAAAAGGGTACAACTATCAACCTCGCTTCCTCGCTTGGCTGCAGAAGAATTAAACAGTTCGACCAATAATGCCGAGGTTCCAACAAGGGATAACATGGAGACCATTAGAAAGCCGAATCTGTGTTTCGGATGTGGAGTGATGGCTTGAACAGAGGTGCAGGCGTATTCTGTGGGATGGATAATGTATTCTCAGAAAAAACCACATGAAGGAACTTTCTGCAAAAAAGGATTCTCCACCGCATCAAGCATCCTGGAGAGACCAACTTCTCCGAGATGGAGAGAGGTGGAGGTAGATCATAGGTATGATTATCCAAAATTACCAAAGCAAGGATCGAAAGTGTCGAGGACTGAGGATGAGGAATCTTGCATAAGTGGCAGCGACATGGACTCGAAATTTGCCCTGATCACTATTGAAACACTGACCTGCTCTCGTTTCTCCCTCAGCTCATTTTCGAAATGCGGCCGCGGTGTGTTGCGCACACGTTGCCTACACTACGATAATTCTCCTTTTCATCGCGCTCCGAGCGAGTGTGAGAAGTGAGCGGTGTATCCTCCAATTTGGGAGGATCCATGCCGAAGTAGCATTCGCAAGCGTTGGTTCTCTGTAAAGAAAACAGATAAGGAACGAAGAACGTCCCAGAAGTCGTTGGGTAAACTTCGGCCCGATCGGTTTGCTCACCTCGTTCATTCTTTAACTTATTCTCCTCTTCACGAATCCAACTGAAGTCAATGTCGCTGGACTCGCCCCGAGCTTGCGACGTCGCCAAGAATACCGCGCGATCCACAATGGGGCGCATCGAAATCGGACACTATATTTGCATAAATCCGACAGGAAGCTCGCCTGACTAACAGACTTCTGGCTGGCGTAGGTGTCGCGTTGTTAAAGCCCAATCCTTCTGCTATCAATAGCTGCTCAGTCTTTCTACTCGTTCCGTGCGTTGAACTTTGATTCCACAGTTTTCGGCTTGTTGTCCTGAATCGCATTGCATGTACTGATCCGTGAAATCCCTATTCTCAAGACGCAAGGTAGTCTGGGAGAGTCAGACAAAAAAGTATAGGCACAGAACTATTTAAAGGCAAAAGTCTGGCTCAATAAGGGGGATTATGGCGATTGAAACTGAGTATAGAGATGCGAAGTGTAACGGCAGTGGAGAAAAAACCGCGAAAAACCCTCGACAAGGCCGTTAACAAAGCCCTCTTTCTCAAAAGCAATGAAGGAGGCCGGCTTGGGAAGAGGCACGTACAAGCAAGTTTTCTGAAGATATCAGTCGTTCTATCGGTTGATACGGCTATCAACCTAGCTGATTTCACACGTTATGCCACATCCCGAGGTGGGCGGTCGTAGCGGGGCTAGGCGGCGATAGCGCATAGTACGTGCCCTGAGGCCTTATTACCGCGTCGTTTGAGATTTTGAGCATGGGAACATCGTAATAAATTACAAATTTTTACAAAAATATCTACCTCTAAGGGTCGAATCAATTACAGGAATACCGCCAAAGGGTGGTTACGTTCACTCCCCACCCGACCTTTGTCCTTTAAATTGTTCCGTCCAATGGTCCCTCAAATGGCAATCCAAGGAATTCCTAAACACGTCACATAATTAGAATACCGCAGCGTCCCGTTGACTGCCTATAGAACTATTATAATACACATTTTATGTCCCCCATCAGGAACGCATAAAGGCTAGCGGATTAAGAAAATACTACAAACAAAACACAACTTACGGCCTTGCTGGAGTTTGAGTTCCTAGTCATACTTCCAAGTTGTGCGCTTGTTTCGCTCATTGGTGACAGATCGTCTGAAAATTTATGAACGTGAAAACCACTGAGATATGTGTTCCTTTAATACATGAAAGGAAACGGACGAAGCATTAGCAATCTTTTCTTGATCGCCCGGTCATTCCGCACCATTTGGGTTCGCGAATGCGTTTGATTACGATTGAGCCTGCACAAATGCGGATCATGTGATATCCGAGCGTGGGTTTTACTCTCGAAGACGGCTTTACTTCTGAGTACATGGCACTTGGGGAATCATATGCTCAAATGGGCTCGGTGGGGATCGATCCCGAAAATCACTCACATACCGCGAACGTAGCTAGTGAGCCAATACTTCTCATCCACGTGATTCTTGTGGCCATTTCGCATTAATTTCACCCAACCTCTCCAAAACTAAATCGATCTTAGCGAGCGGAGAGTTGATCACTATCAAAATATGTAGACTGAATGTGACGGGGGCAATGCAGTGGCGATGCATTTGGAACCGCGTAAAAATCTCCGTTTGGGCAAGGTAGGAAAGCCCAGACCCCAGGTAAAGTGAGCAAGTCTTCATTACTCCGAAGTTCCCTGTCTTTCCCCATGCTCAGTTCTGAGGGAAGCGCCTTATCCTCGATGGTGCCTAGAGTGAATTCATTCATAAAATCCCGTAGATAAGCTTCCTTCCACTTTTCGAGAAAGACGCATGCGCTTTTCTCCCACCTTTCTGGCTCAAAAAATGTTTGGGTCATTCCAAAAACAAAACTCCATGGAAAGAAAAAATATAATCGGTGTAATATTTCGTATAACTTCGTATAACCTCAACGTTTTGGCGGAAATGGTAACTTTGACAGTTTGGTTTCGAAGAACGAAAAGGTGAGGAAACAGCTTGGGCTTGTTCACAATGTGCCTTTCCTTAGTTCTGTTGTCTCCCATTCACTTGGCATTCCCTCTTGCTAGAAGAAATCTTAGATGATGTCGTGAATCACAACGCTAAAACTAGCCGAGGGAAGTTAGCGAAAAAGGTTCAAGTATCCTACTACCATTTTGAGCCGTGGGTTGGAAGGCTGGCCTGATATACCTGAAACTGAACGTTGGAAAAAAGCGCTACCAAATGGCCACCCCAGTGGCAGAGTACACCTGAGGAAAAAAACTTAATAGACACTTTTTAAGCTAACATTAGGCCTGTTTGGCAGGGTTTGGACGAGTTCTCTTATTAGTAGTCGCTCCTTCCCCACCTTCCTCACTAAGTGCGGGCTACTGGCAACGGAAGAGGCTACGCCCGTCGAAGTGACGTCTGAGTCCACCATCCGTCGAGCCACCGATTTACAATGCCCTTACCGACACAAGAAAGATGAACTCGTTGCCAGGCAAGAGTTTAGCTATCACTCGCTCTATCAGCAAGGTCAATGACTTCCTCTCCTTGGAGCTTCCTGCGCCTCTTGTGAAATACGGAACCAGCGGGTTGCACATACTAGAATATTTCAGGTAATGGTGAAGCAACTTGTGCTGCTACGACTTCCAGCATTTTTATAGATAGCATAGTAAGAGTGAAGAGATGAATCTAGGCTTTGCTCCGGCATATCGCAATCAAAACAAATCTGGCGCTCACGTCGCTGGGGGGGGGGAACACTGAAGTCAGTGAGCCACTTGAAAAACTTTGAATTAAATCTTAGCGAGGGGAAGGGATCCTGGGAGAAGAAGTGAACAACTTTTGCTCTGCTAGCATCTATCCTCTTGACTCAACGATTAGCGCCGGGTCACCTACCAAGCGCTTTTGAGATGACGCTTTTTGAATAAATCCGCCGCCGGTCCCATAAGCGCCCACCCATCTTCCTGTTTTAATCTCGCTCTCCCTCTACAGGGAAATGACCAGTGAAACTGTTGTCGCTATTTTATTTGCGCTCCGCTTCTAAACGCTCCTTATGCAGGAGGGGAAACTCTGACCGCTGTCCTTCTTTGCCCTAAATAATCGTGCCGTTTTGTTGTATGGTATGCCGTAAGTTTGGATGCGGTTATTCCTACCCCCAAGGGGAATACCATTTAAAAAATAAACTAATACCTCTGGCATCACGTCGTTGGGGCGAAGACATCCAACCATCTCCATTGTGACTGTCAGAAATAGAAGTGACTGGTGAAGAAGTAATTGAACTACTGAGGTGCACTGGCTGACCCGATGTGGTCGTTGTGCTGAAACGGACCATAATTTTTAAGCCTTTCTAAGGCCTATAGGCCACGTAAATAACCATCGCTTCCCTGCATACCTGAGTGAGGAACGTCCCGTATGACGATCTAACGGTGGCTGAAAACGTGCCCCAATTTCGACATTGCTCTCTGAATCGGCCATCGACGGCTGCGATGTGTGCCCTACCTATACGACCCTATATATCAAACAATCACAAGAATTGCTGATGATAAATTGCACTCGTCGGTCGCCCTCGTCTCTACTATTCCCCCGATTCATGCGGAAATCATAAAAAGCCGTTACGTTGCTCAAGCACCTGTGTGGATCCGGTATCGGCGACGTTAATTGCGGTCGGATTATGCATTTGAGGACGCTCGAGATCGATACACGGAGGGAAAAGGTGTGTAGATTGCCGAAGCGGCCGCGCAAGAAGCACCTGGTTCTCAGTGAGGACCGTTGTCGCCGATCTCGCTCTTAAATTGCCCCCAAAAAGGGTTTGACGTCAAGAAAGTGAAACAGAGGACAGTGACGGTAAACGGATACCCCCCCCCCTCATATTACGCAACGCCACCGTTTCCGGCCCTTAGTCTCTTCTTCGTTCGATTCTGCCAAGACTGACCCGGCTGCCATTGAGTAGAAAGCGATAGTTCCAAAATCTAATATCTCACGGCTTTTGTGTAAACTGAAATGCCAGTGAAAGTAGGACAACTGATACTGTTCGTTGGTTGGAGAAATCGATGTAGAATAGCTAGTTGATGGTAAGAAAGCACCAGGAGAGGAAAGAAGGATTTGATTTTGAAAGAGATTTCTAACAAAATCTTCACGATAATGCAAATATTGTTGAAAGTTTTTTTCACGTCCAAAAATTAGCTCTTACTGATATTCTTGATATTTTATCTAATCTATAATGTTTACTGTTCTTAATGTTATCTGTAACATAAAATACCACCATAACCACCAGCAATAAGAATCACTAGCGTAACTGTACCAGGTAGGAGAGACAGAGGCTATCCTATGTTGCTTGTGTCCATCTACAATACCGCTACTAATTTTTGTTCAATCGACGGTTTGCGACGGTCGGAAACCGTCGCAAACCGTCGGCTCGCCATAACTCTTTAAAAAATGGTTCGCTCGACCTGCAGTTTATACCATCTGATAGCTCTGCTCGAGATCTACAAGATGGTTAAATTCAATTTCTGAAAGAGCTCCATCTAGGATTGCGCCATGCACTCGACCTCCATCCCGAGAAGTAATGAATATACTTTGTATGTGATGCGCATATAAGTCCTCCTATGCAGCCTGATCATCCCACAGAAACATGGATCTCAACACCCTCAGAATACGCCACGTACCCAACCGGTCCACCATATGGTGAGATTGAATGAATGTTTTTTTTTCGAATTTCACGATCTTTAATTCGTTCTAGAGCGCTAATTGGCTAACCGTGCGCTGATCAACCCATTCTTCCACTCCAAATGAGAATCTTCGAACAGTTTCCAGCAGTAGTAGTAGACCTATTATGTGACATTCCCCACATTTAGAGGAGATGATTTGCGGAAACCTGAGAAGATAGCCAGGAATCTCTCCACAGACGTAGACTCCAGTTACTTCTCTGTAAGATTGATGTAGAATATTTGGTCACGGGTAAGCGCTCCGTCCGTGGTGTGGCCCCAAACATCACTCTCCGTCATGCCCTAAAATGAAAATCAGAGTTTTTGCTCTTCCAGATGACTCTACAGAGCTGAGGGGTGCACCGTTCGATTTCCCATGAAAAATACTACCGAATGGTGTACAACTCAGGTTTCACACAAAACTTTGTTTTTCTCACTTTTTTGCTCCCCATTGCCGATCGTCCTCCCAGCCCTTGGCGCCACGTGCGATTTAGCGAGAAATTCTCTCCACCGACGTGGACTCCGGTCACTTGTCTGTAGGAAAGAGGTAGAATATTTGGTCACGGGTAAGCGCTCCGTCCGTGGTGTGGCCCCAAACATCGCTCTCCGTCATGCCCTGAAATAAAAACCAGATTTTTTGGTCTCCCAGGTGGCTCTACGGATCTGTGGTGTACACCGTTCGATTCTCCATGCAAAATGCTATCGAACGATATACATCTCAGTTCCCACTTGAAACTTTCGTTTTTCACCGTTTTCGGCCTTTTCCTTATCGCCGATCGCCTTCCTCAGCCCTGGCCACCCACGTGCTATTCACGTGCGCGGAGCGTGAGAGCTCACGTGACAGCCGATGGCCTTTCTCGGTAGCTGGCGGGCAGCCCGATCGATACACCGCTATGCGTGTCGAAAGTGCGTGGGAAAGTCACCACGCACCGCGCACGTGAATAGCACGTGGGTGGCCAGGGCTGAGGAAGGCGATCGGCGATAAGGAAAAGGCCGAAAACGGTGAAAAACGAAAGTTTCAAGTGGGAACTGAGATGTATATCGTTCGATAGCATTTTGCATGGATAGCATTTTGCATGTGGAATCGAATGGTGTACACCACAGCTCCGTAGAGCCACCTGGAAGACCAAAAAATCTGGTTTTTATTTCAGGGCATGACGGAGAGCGATGTTTGAGGCCACACCAGGGAAGAAACACTCGCTCAAGCCCGAGTGTATCATCTTTTTCCAACATACAAGTAAACTTACTCTACGATAGGGAAGAGAGTTCGTCCCTCCCTTCTCGAATTTCCTCAAAACATCCCTTCGAAAATTGCGAAATGTCACAAAATGGATCTAGTGGCAGGTAAACTAGATGTTCTCCAAAAAGTGAGTTGTATACCGTTCGACAGTATTTGTTATGGGGAATTGAATGGTGCACATCTCAGTCTTCTATGTTCATCTGGAGAACCAAAAAAATCTGATCATATCGCAAGGGCATGACGAGGTGTGATGTTTGGGGTCGCACTACGGAAGGAAGACTCACCTGCCACCAAGGTTTCTATGTAATTCCTACAGACAAGTAACCGTAGTCTACGTCAGTAAAGGAAATTTGTCGCTGCCTTCACAGCTTTCTACATAACAGCTGCTCTAAACATGGAACAAAAAAAAGTTGAAGTTGTCGCAAAAAATGGGGCGAGGTGTGATGTTTGGGGCCCCACTACGAGAATGAATGTCATATTCGTAATCAGGGCATCGAATTACCCCAATAGGCAAAGTTTCGACGAAAAATGAAACTTTGAGATTTTGGGATAGTAATAGTGGAATAATGATGCAATTGGCAATAGGGGAAGGCTGAAAACGGTGAAAAACCAAAGTTTCAACTGGGAGGAGTAATGCATATCATTCGATAGCATTTTTCACGGGGAATCCAATGGGGCACATCTCAGGTCTGCGAGTTCATCTGGAAATGCAAAAAATCTGATTTTTATTTTAGGGCATGACGGAGAGTGATGTTTGGGGCCACACCACGGACGGAGCGCTTACCCGTGACCAAATATTCTACCTCTTTCCTACAGACAAGTGACCGGAGTCCACGTCGGTGGAGAGAATTTCTCGCTAAATCGCACGTGGCGCCAAGGGCTGGGAGGACGATCGGCAATGGGGAGCAAAAAAGTGAGAAAAACAAAGTTTTGTGTGAAACCTGAGTTGTACACCATTCGGTAGTATTTTTCATGGGAAATCGAACGGTGCACCCCTCAGCTCTGTAGAGTCATCTGGAAGAGCAAAAACTCTGATTTTCATTTTAGGGCATGACGGAGAGTGATGTTTGGGGCCACACCACGGACGGAGCGCTTACCCGTGACCAAATATTCTACATCAATCTTACAGAGAAGTAACTGGAGTCTACGTCTGTGGAGAGATTCCTGGCTATCTTCTCAGGTTTCCGCAAATCATCTCCTCTAAATGTGGGGAATGTCACATAATAGGTCTACTACTACTGCTGGAAACTGTTCGAAGATTCTCATTTGAGTGGAAGAATGGGTTGATCAGCGCACGGTTAGCCAATTAGCGCTCTAGAACGAATTAAAGATCGTGAAATTCGAAAAAAAAACATTCATTCAATCTCACCATATGGTGGACCGGTTGGGTACGTGGCGTATTCTGAGGGTGTTGAGATCCATGTTTCTGTGGGATGATCAGGCTGCATAGGAGGACTTATATGCGCATCACATACAAAGTATATTCATTACTTCTCGGGGATGGAGGTCGAGTGCATGGCGCAATCCTAGATGGAGCTCTTTCAGAAATTGATTTTTTTTTTTTTTTTTTTTTTTTTTTTTTTTTTTTTTTTTTTTTTTTTTTTTTTTTTTTTTTTTTTTTTTTTTTTTTTTTTTTTTTTTTTTTTTTTTTTTTTTTTTTTGTTTGATATCTTGGCGGGTAGG